CAAGCACTCTTCCAACTGAGCTCTATCCCAGCCCTTTGTCTTTTCACTTTAATGAGCAAAAGTTCCTAGTTTTAATGTAATCTTATTTTTCCATTACAAGTCTTTTATGTCGGAAAAAATTCTTTTCAACTTTTAAGGTTCTTCTATATTATTGATATTTTATTCTTCTATATTATGTGGTGACCCAGGGCCTCACACATGCTAGGATAGGTAAGGTTAATTGCCTTTCATATAGGTGTTTACAACATCTAGAATATTTTAAATTTTTTTTTTATTCTTTGTGTTACTGAGGATTGAACACAGGATACTCTTACCAATGAGTTGTATCCCCATACTTTTAAATTTTATTTTGACATAGGGTCTCCCTGAGGTGCCCCAGGCTGGCCTGGAACTTGCAATTTTCCTGTCTTAGCCTTTCAAGTAGCTGGGATTATGGACGTATACCTCTGCATATGGCCTCTGCATATGTTACTTTTTATTTATTTACTTTTAAATTTAATTTTGGTAGGTTTTTTTTTTCCTATTTTCTTTCTCTCTTTTTTTCTTGTTTCAGTACTGGGGATCAAACCTAGGACTTGCACATACTGTGCAAATGCTGTATTATTACGGTTTCTATGATACCTACCTTTTAAAGGCTTACTTACTTTTCACATATTGGTCTTTACTAACATCTAGAATTGATTTCAAGCCTTATTTATTTATTTATATCAGGGATTGAACCCAGAGCACCTTACCACTGAAAAAAATGTCTGAAAAAATGTCCCCTTTTTATTTTGAGGCAGACTGTCACTAAATTGCCCAGGCTGACTTTTGCTTTGAAATCCTCCTGCCTCAGCCTCTCAAGGAGCTGAGATTACAACTCTGTGTCACCCATGCTGCCTATTTTATGATTTTTTTTTTTTCTTTGACTGTAATGTCATCTCTTCTGGAACTTTGAGGCCTGGGGTAAAGATAGGTTTCTAGATTTGTTTTTATTTGTAAGACAGGCATTTGAGATGGGCTGTGTCCTCAGAGCTTTGGAATAAAGGATGAGTTTTCAGTAGAAAGAAGACAATCACTGATCCTGTGGTGGGAAGCAGTGCAGGTGTCGTGGAGGAAAAGCTGTTTGTTTGAAGTATAGTATTTATCAAGAAGGCAGAGGAAATTAGGCTAGGAAAGGAACTTTGTGAAATTCCCTAATTGCCATGTCAAAGAGTTTAGAATCTTTTGTAATGATTAAGGATTTTTGTGATACTAACATGCAAGATGGAAGAGGATGAGGTTCAATATAAATGGGACCATTAAGGATACCAGAAATAATCCAAGTGAATTAACTTATTAGGTCAACAGATATTTATTGAGTTATACACCAGGGACCATGCATATTGCTTAGAATAAAGTTTGACCTGCTCCTGTTCTCCCAGAGTAGATCAAGCACACATGCAGTTTCTATGGTTTGATGAGTGTGATAAAGGAAGTACCGGATTCTCAGAGGAGCACTTCAAAGAGTTTCTTAAATGAGACTCTGTAGGTCAAGGTTAGCATTGTGAGGGAATTGACTTTTTGGTTGCAACCTAAAGGTTGAATAGAAGGTGTAAAGACAACAGTGTTCTATTTTAGGTCATAGCATGTGCAGAGGCCTAAAGGTGCAAGATATTCCCCTTGGGGAATTGCAAATGAAACAGTGCTTGGCAGATTGGTACAGCACAAGATAAATTCAGTCCCTCAAACATGTTTTGTTTAACCCACAATTTTTTTTTTCCTGCCTGTGGTACTTGGATTAAAACCAGGGATACTCTACTACCAAGCCACATCCCTAAATCCTTTTTTAAAAATCTTAATTTTACATGGCAGAGGCTGGTATCAAACTTGGGATTCTCCTGCCTCAACCTCCTCATCACTGGAATTATGCACAACTCCCACAAAATATTATTTTTTTTTTGAGAATTTTTTTAATATTTATTTTTTAGTTAGTTCTCGGGGGACACAACATCTTTGTTTGTATGTGGTGCTGAGGATTGAACCCGGGCCGCACGCATGCCAGGCAAGCGCGCTACCGCTGAGCCACATCTCCAGCCCCCACAAAATATTTTTAATAAGTTTTGTTAGTGGAGTGGGCAACCTTTATAAAAAATGAAGTTTGACTTGAAAAAAATCTGGTGGTTGTTGGGGTGATAACGTATACCTTTAATCCCAGCTGAGGCAGGAAGATAGCAAGTTTGAGGCAACCTTAGCAACTTAGTAAGACCCTAACTCAAGATTAAAAATAAAAAGGGCTAGGGATATAGCTCAATGGTAAAGTGCCCTTGGGTTTAATCCCTAGTACTTAAAAATAAAAGAATCTGGCAGTTGGGTCCAATACCAGGTGGGAGATTGCTGCCAGAATCCAAGCCAAGCCCAAAAGGTGATGGCCTGAGGTTGGAAGTGGACAGACTTGACATATATTGGTGTAGTTTAAGCGAAGTCTAATGTAGTGGTTGAGGAAAGAGAGGAATTAAAGGTGATACTCTGGCTTCTGTCTTAAGCAACTGCGTGAATGGTGGTGAGAACAGGACATCTGGGAAAGAGCGATAGAAGAAATAGGGGTGGTGGATGCAGTCAAGATTATACAAGTATTGGGGTTGGGAGAGTGGCTCAGTAATAGAGTACATGTTTAGCAAGTGCAGGGCCCTCCTCCCAAAATAAGAACTATTAAAAGATTATGGAAGTATAGTGAGAGGGACTGGCATTAGTTTGCGATAGTAAAGCAAAAAAGGGCAGAGTTTAAAATGATACTTAAGTTTTCAGCCTGAGTGTATGTTGGATTTATTAACAGAAATAGTAAAAGTTCTGGAAAGTTGAATTTGAGTGCTTCTACATCATCAGTCACAAATTGTTGAGTCCAGTTGAATTTAAAGGCGTGTGGAGCTCACTGGGAATCTATTGGAATTTTGAATCCAGAGCACAGAATATAGACTAAGATGGAGTTAGAGTTAGGGTCGCATTTGTCAAGGAGAATAAAGGAGTTAGTGTAGGACAAACAACTTGATATTTAGAGCCAATTCTTACTACTTTCCCTGTGGATGTTTTTAATAATCTTTAAGTGATGGGAAGAAGAAAAGAGAGTGTTGGGAAGGAGGAATCAGAATGTTAGGATGACCAGGAAATTATCATGTCAAAGAAGTTTTGGGTGGATGTGATCAGAATTTTTTTTTTTTTAATTTTTAGTTTTCAGTGGACACAAAATCTTTATTTTTATGTGGTGCTGAGGATCGAACCCTGCGCCCTGTGCATGCCAGGCGAGCGCACTACTGCTTGAGCCACATCCCCAGCCCGTGATCAGAATTTTTGGTGTTATGATTTATAAAGGATTGCTCATCCATTTCAATTGTCCTTAGTCATCCCTTTTTCTTAAGTTTTTGGAACCATTTGGACCATAATTATATATTGTTATATCTAATAGTAAGAAGTACTGGGAGGACTGGCAATATAGCTCAGTTGGTAGAGTGCCTGCCTTGCATGCTCACTGCCCTGGGTTCAATCCTCAAGAAAAGAAGAACTGGGGCTGGGGATATAGCTCAGTTGGTAGAGTGCTCGCCTCACATGCACAAGGCCCTGGGTTCAATCCCCAGCACCAAAAAACAACAACAACAAAAAAAGAAGTATGAATTTATGAAGCACTTTATAGTTTACAAAGAGATTTAATGATCTCATTGGATTCTCATAACTTCCCTGTGAGGTAGTTGTTGTCCCTACTTAGTAAATGAGAAATTGTGGCTTCTGAGATAGTAATTTGCCTAAGAAACAGAACTTGAGCTGCAATACTGGTCTTTGATAATCTTGTTTGCCTAATTAGATTGTAGGTTTCTTGAGGTCTGAGTCTAATCAGTTATTTCTTTTTGTCCAGCACCTAGCTTAGTGCTGGGCAAAAATATAGGTGTTCAACTAGAGTGAAGCCTGAAAATGGTCAAAAAAAGAAAAAATAATAAAAATCTGAGAAAGTAAATAACAGTTTTGTTTGGGGGGTAATAAAGAATAATTTGCCCTCTCTCCCTTCTGCCCTCTAGCGCCCTCACAAAGCCAATGCTGAGGAGATGACCAAGTACCATAGTGATGACTACATCAAATTCTTGCGCTCCATTCGTCCAGATAACATGTCTGAGTATAGCAAGCAGATGCAGAGATGTAAGTCCATTCTGTTCCTTCCCATTCTCGGGCCCCCAGTCAGATCTCACTTTCCATTAGAGAGGCCTGCCGTATCTTCCTTGCACTTCCCATTCCACTGACGTCTGACTTCCCTTACCCCTCAAGGGTGCCCAAGTACGTCTTTTTTCTCAGGTCTGGTTTTCCTTATTTCCTAATTATAAATAATAGATGTTGGAATTTTTTCCAATTAGGTTTGTAACACTCTGTCCCAAGAGTACTATAATTGTAATGGGAAAAAGCAAAGAGCTGGGAAGTGAACAATAGACATAGGGCCCAAGTCTAACTCTTTAACTGTCCCAACAAGTCACTTCCCCTCAGATTTTTCTTTTGTGAAATGAACTGAACCATGTGATCTCTGATTTCCATCGGCATGTAAATGTTCTGACTTTGTGAGTATTAATTCAGAATTTAGGGACCACTCATGATAGACTCTAGATGACGTGATCTTGGAAATGAGGTGATTCTACCCTATGCTCTGGGACTTGAAACTCCAGAACAGGTCCCATCTCAGAAACAGATTTGGACCTGTTTGGGAGTTTCAAGTCCTGTTTGGAGGAATTGTGGGAATTACTTTAGCTGTGGGGGGAGAAATGTTGAGTTTGGGACTAAACTGTCATTTATTGTGTTATTTATTTATTTACTTTTAAAAATTATTTATTTATTTTTATTTAGGTTTTGTTGTTGTTTTGCAGTACCAGGGATTGAACCCAGGGCTTTGCACATGCTAAGCAAGTGCTCTACCACTGAGCTAAATACCCAAACTCTCCCTTGAGATATTTTAGAAATTATCTTTTAGCACCTAAGGCCTCACACAATATACTATAACAGTATTGTCCAGAAATTTTGATTAATTTATGACAGTTTGTATTGTGATATCAGGAAATCTGTGGTACTTTTTTATTAATACTGGTCATAAGGTAGCCTGATTGAAAGGAAGAATGTTACTTATTAGTTGTAATAACTGCACAGTGGTAACAATGACAGAACTACAGTGACCTTTCTTGAAGTATTAAATTTCTTTGCTAACCACAACCCCAGAACCTTTTGCCTCCTATAATTGTAATGAGAAAAGCCCTGAGCTGAGAAGTGGACAATAGATATAGGGCCCAGGTCTGGCTCTTAACTGACTAGACAAGTCACTTCCACTCAGATTTTTGAGGTGTTTTGTTTTCATGGTGAGAAAATTCCTTTGCTGGACTCTTTAGGGCGAGGGTCAGCAGAATAGATTCTCATTGGAGAAGCAGATTGGTATTGAAGCAAGAAAATGAAGTTTTCATGCTTATTTTGAATGCTTGTTCTCCCACTTAGCTATGTGTTTTTAAGTAAGTCTCCTAGTCTCCCTAAAAGTGTTATTTTCCTCTTTAAGAGGAATACAATAGCCAGGTGCAATGGCGCATGCCAGTAATCCCAGTGAGTCAGGAAGCTGAGGTAGGAGGATTACAAATTTGAGGCCATCCTGGGTAATGTACCAAGACCTGTTTCAAAATAAAAAATAAAGAAGGGCTGGGGGTTAGCTCAATGATAGAGCACTCCTTGGTTCAACCTCTAGAACTACTCCCTCCCCCTCACAAAAATTAGGTCTGGACTGGGTGCAATGGCATGTGCTTGTAATTCCAGCTACTTGTAAGGCAGAGGCAGGAGGAGGATGAGGCCAGCCTGGGCAGCATAAACCCCATCTCAAAAAAATAAAAAAAGTTAGGTCTGGGATTTTTCTTTCATTGGAAATAGAAGTGCAAAGGATAAGTGGTAGGAAGGTCTGAGTACTTCAGGATACCTTACTGACTTGATTTATAGCATTTTTAGAGGATCAGAATAGGCAAAGACTTGCTGTCATTCAGCGCAGTGCTTTATAATCAAGACAGTAATAGAAATATAAGAGCTATGTTTAAAAACATTCATTAATACCTAATCTATTTAATATTAATATTTATTTATTTCTAATTTCCTCCCCCATCTCTCACAGTATTGACTCCTTTGGTAAGACCAAATAAGACTGTTTTCTTTACTCTTGGCTGGAATGTTATAAACTATAGTCACTTTGAGATTTTGAAAGCCTTGATCACAAGTTCTGACCTAATATTTAATTAGTAAAAATGAAAACACGAATCAGTGCAAGTTTTGGAACAGATAATTAGAACATCGGGCTCATAGTGAAAACATGATAGAAGGGATTTGTGGAGATAAAATATTGTATGACATTCTTGTTTGTTCTATGGACATAAACTGAGACCCAGGGAGTTGAAATGATTTGTCTAAGAGTTACATAGCAAAGTGTTAGTAGACAAGAGAATGGAACATCGCACATTCTGGAGTACAGTCAGCCCTCCATATCCCTGGGTTCTGCATCAGTAGATTCGGCCAATTGTAGATTAAAAAAAAAAATTGTATTAAACATGCACAAACTTTGTTCTTTTCATTTCCTAAACATTGTATTAAGTGTTATAAATAATCTAAAGATTATTTAAAGTATTTGGGAGGAGCTGGGTGTGGTGGCTCATGCCTGTAATCCCAGCGGCTCTGGAGGCTGAAACAGGAGGGTTACAGGTTCAAAGTTAGCCTCAGCAATGGTGAGGTGTAAGCAACTCAGTGAGACCCTGTGTCTAAATAAAATACAAAGTAGGGCTGGGGATGTGGCTCAGTGGTTGAGAGCCCTTGAGTTTAATCCCCAGCATGTCCCCCCCCCCAAATTAAATAAAATAAAGTATATGGGAGGAGCTGGATATAGTACATACCTGTAGCCCCATCTACTTGGAAGGCAAGGCAAACGGTTGCTTGAGTCCAGGAGTTCGAGTTCAGCTTTGGCAATTTTAGCAAGATACTGTTTCAAAGAAAAGAAAAAAAGTATATGGGAGGCCCTGCATAGATTATTCGTGATGCCTTTTTATATGATTTTATATGATTATATGATGCCTTTTTATATGAACTTGACTATCCAACAGATTTTGGTATTTGAGGAGGATCCTGAAACCAATCCCCCTAGAGATGGAAGGATGACTGATTGTACTTCTAAATGTTATGCATATAAAATATTTTGGACATATAAAACACATAAAAATTCATGAATAGAGCAAGATTCAGACTAGAATATAGCTGTTAAGTGCTGTATTGTTATTTCCCCTGCTCAAAATAAAGTTATGGTTTCTTCTTACCTATACCTTTCTGTTATACCCAAATAGCAGCTAGGGCACTTGGTCACATACATGTTGGTAGAAAAAAAATAATAATGAACATCCAGGTACTCAGTGGTCAGCTTAAGAAAATATGATTGATGGATTGAAGTCTCCTGGGTCCCTCTCATTCATATACCCTTTCTCTTCCACTGGCCCCATTCTATGACCATCATCATCAAGGTATAAACTATTTGAAAGTCAATGTTTAATCCTATGCATCTCTTAAAAAGCATAAAGCATATGCCTTCATTAATTATCTTTCTTGGTATAAAGCTAACTTAAGAATGAGAAAAGTGTTTATAGTGGATAGAGGGAAATCCTACAGAAATAGCTCAAGTGACAGTCTGCTCTCCCACTTCCCTCCTTTCCACCTTTAACCCAGTGAGCTAAGAATAAATGGGCTGGCTGTTTGAGCCAAGTTTTAGATTCGAGTCCTGAAGGGAAATATTTTTTTTTCATATGTAAAACATCCATGCTGTTCTATGAGGACTTCACATCCCAAATGAGAATATAAACAAAACTTTGGAAACCCAAGTAGGCAGAACCCACTGCAAAGGGGAAAAACAGGTGCCAGTGGATAAATAGCCTGCTCACATGGACCAAAGTTCTTATTGACACAGCCTTTCAGTATTTACCCAGGAATCCAGGAAGAGCTACCCACTGCTGGCTTCCTTATGTAGCCGCTATTTCTCAGAGCACCCGAACTTGGGCACCCTCCAAGTTAGGGCAGTGCCAGCGTTGGTAACTCTTGTGGTTATTGGAAATGCTGAGCTTTGGCTGTGTCTTGAGATGTTACCATAATCCAAGCTGGCCCCTCCTAACCTCCTCATACCAGGACTCCTCCTTGCTCTACTTTGGGAACCAATGTTGATCACAGCAGGTGCAGTAAAAGGGCTGGGTCAAGAGAATAAGGATCTAGCCCACTCCTTTAACTTCCTGTATATCATTGATGTCTCAGCAGTTTCCTTTCATGTGAGAGACTTGGAGCCCCAGGGTTTCTCTCTAGCTCTAGGAGTCTACAACCTCCAGGTGTGCTTTCCTTCCTGTCTTTTTCACTTCATTTGCATCAGTGTTTGCATGTGTTTCCACATTATGTACAAGGTTGTACTTTTACCTCTGTAGGCCTGAAATAATTTTACTCACTTGTGGGTGTAGTGAAAAAAGAGCACTGGACTGTGGGAGACAAGACACCTGGATGCTGATTCTGGTTCTGCCACTACCTGATTTTATAACCTTGGGCAAGTCGCTCAACTTCTCTTTGTTTGTTCCTCTGCACAGTGGGGTCAATATCTGTCTTGTCTGGCTCATAGGGTTGTTGTGAGAATCAAATGAGATTGTATATGTGAAAGCACTTGGGAAAAGGCCAAGGTATATCTTCACAGACTTTTAGAACCAAAGCTTGAGGCTTGAACATTGCCTCTACCATTTGTTAGCAGTTCATCTCTCTGAGCTTGTTTCTCCATTTAGAAGATAGGACCAAATCCTACCCCAGAAGATTGTGTGAGGATAAATGTATCAGGCATTTAAAGCATTTAACAGTGTCTGGCACATTGTAGGCCCTTAGTGAAAGATAGGTAGGCCGGTCTGTGTTCTTCATTTCCTTGTTGGTCAGCTGGAGTGACGTGCAGGAACAAACTCAAGACTGGAAGAAGATAAATTTTTCTTCTTCAAGGAATGAACTAGTGTTTTCCAAGTTGCTAGATGCTTTTCCATATAAGATTTCTCATGCTGAGCATGTGACATAGTCCCAGATCTTTGGTAGGCTGAGACCGAATGATTACTTGAGCCCAGCTTTTGGAGGCCAGCCTGGGCAACATAGTGAGACACCACTCCCCCATCTCAAAATAGAATTTTAAAAAGCAAAGAAAAAGATTTCTGTTAATTATCTCAACAGTTTGTGAGGTGGTTATCATTATTGTTTATTATAGGAAATGGGCTAAAGTACAAAGAATTGAAACAACTTAGTAAGTGATAGAACCTGGACTAGAACACAGACCTTTTGATTTTATAAATATCTAAACAAAACCTGAAGGAAATTATGGAAACTAACCTTTTGCTTATTTCTTTCAAGTCAATGTTGGTGAGGACTGTCCGGTATTCGATGGCCTGTTTGAGTTCTGTCAGTTGTCTACTGGTGGCTCTGTCGGTAAGGAATATACATCCCCTCCCCAAGGGTTGTGCTGGGCTCTTCTAGGCCATAATCCCAGTAGGGCTAGGCATGGTGGTGTATGTCTGTAAGCTCAGTAACTCAGGAGGCTGAGGCAGGAGGATCAAAGCCAGCTTTAGCAATTTAGTGAGGCCCTAAGACACTTAGTGAGACCCTGTCTCAAAATAAAAAATTAAAAAGGCTGGGGATGTGGCTCTATGGTTAAGCGCCCTGGGTTCAATCCCCAGTACCAAAAACATCCTGGTAGGGCTGATCTGTAGCCATGGAGAATGGTCCTGTGGGTTTTTGTTTTAGCTCTAAATTTTCCTTTTGGTTTGATCCTAACCTACATTTATTTTCCAACATGATATTAAAAGGTGTTCTTCCCTGTCCTCTCCTACCAAGAGATCTTACATACAGAAATTCCAGGCTGGGATTGTGGCTCAGTGGTATGCGCTTGCCTAGCATATGTGAGGCACTGGGTTTGATCCTCAGCACCACATAAAAATAAATAAATAAAATAAATGTCTATCAATAACTAAAAAAATTTAAAAAAAAAAAAAAAAAGAAATTCCCTGCAGACCTCAAGGGGTTGTTCAATACTATATGTGAAAGCACTCGTGAATTGCAAAGTGTTATAAAAATGGAAGTGTCATCATCGATGTCTTATGGAAGAATATGGTAATTACCTTCAGAGGTTATAAATATTCCCCATGTGTCTCCCACTTCTACTTGGGTTACCTGTAGGATTACTCTAAATCCTTTCTTAGCAAACAATCATGTGTTGCTTAATGATGGGCACACATTCTGAGAAGTGTGTTGTTAAGGCAGTTTTGTTGTATGAACATTATAGAGTGTGTTTAGACAAACCTAAATGATATAGCCTACTACATACCTAAGCTATATAGGATGCGTACAGTATAGCCTATTGTTCCTAGGTCATGATGTACAAAACAGTGTAAGATTAGATCAAGCACCAGAGGAAATGATGTAATCAAGAAATGCAGTAAACATGAGGCTGCTGCTAACACAGCATACCATTTTACAGTGAACTTTTTTTTTTAATTATAAGTAGAAGTACTTTCTAAAATAACTAGAATGTAAATACATAAACCAGTAACATGATCACTTATTATCAAGTATTACGAATTGTACATGATTGTGTGTACTATACTTTTTATATGCCTGGCAGTGCTATGGGTTTGTTTATACCAGTATCACCACAGACATGTGAGTAATGAGCTGTACTACAATGTTAGGAAGGCAACAGCTTGCTGGGCATGACAGTGTATGCCTGTAATCTCAGCTACTCAGGAGGCTAAGACAGAATGTTTACAAGTTTGAAGCCAGCCACAGCAACTTAGTGAGACCCTGTGTCAAAATAAAAAAAGGGCTGGGGGTGTAGCTCAGTAGTAGAGTGCTTGCCTAGTATCTGTGAGCCCCTAGGTTTGATTCCCACTATTGGGGGGGGTACACAAGTCTACAACTTCACTTAGGTAGTAGTGTTTCAGCTCATTCCTAATCTTTTGGAACCACTGTTGTATGTGTGGTCTGTTGTTGAGCCAAATGTTATGAGTACATGACTTTATTTTTCTATGATCGTTGTTTCCAACCTCTCTCCCTTAACATAACCTCAGAAAACAAAGATATGCACAGGAAAAAAAATGACCCATATTCACACTATCTGTGGATAACCACTTTTCATTTTGGTGTTTATTATCCATACTTTTTTCCTGTGTGAATATATCTGAACATAAATTATACATCAATATTTTTACAAAAATTTTTTACAGAAAATATTGCTATATACTATTGTATGTCTGTAATTTTACTTAGTAAATCTTTAAAATTTCTGTTTCTGTAGCATTCTACAGTGGCTGCATGATTATGTACTACTTTGATATATTCTATCATTTCTTTTTAGATTATTTGGATTGTTCTATGCTTTTATTGTTGCTCAAAAGTCAACATTGCCACAGATACTCATGGGTGTGTGTTTCTCACTTAATTTTGGATCTATTTCTACTTTGGACTAGCACTATTTTTGCTATTTTTTTCCAAAATTTTTTACTATGAACTACGAAAGAAGTACCTTTACACATGCAGTCCAGGATAGTTATGAGTGTGTGTGCATTTACACATGCATTCATTCACTCTAATGCCAAAGTTTTCACAGAAGAGCAGTTACTGTTACCCTTACTGTTATATTTTTATTCTACTCTAAGAATATTTACAGCTGGGTGCCATGGCACATGCCTATAATCCCAGAGATTATAGGATCACAGGTTTCAGGCTACCCTCAACAATTTAGCAAAACCCTAAGGAACTTGAGACCCTGTCTCAGAAAATAAAAGGGATTGGGGATGAGGCTCAGTGATAAAGCACCTCTGGGTTCAATCCCCAGTACCAAAAATATATATACACACACACTAGTCATGACCCTCTAAATCAGTTCTAAGGCCTACTAATGATTTACCATCCTTGATTTGGAAGACAGTTTTTAAAGTGTAGCCAGTGTCACTGGAAACTGGTGCAATCCTATAATACCAGTGACTCAGGAGCTGAGGCAGGAGGATCAGGAGTTTGGGGTTGGACTTGGCAACTTAGTTAAATTCTCTCTCTTTTTTTTTTTTTTTTTTTTGTACCAGGCATTGAACTCAGAGGCTCTTAACCACTGAGCCATATCTCCACCCTTTTTTGTATTTTATTTAGAGACAGGGTCTTGCTGAGTTGCTTAGGGTCTTACTGAATTGCTAAGACCAACTTTGAACTCATGATTCTCCTCCCTCAACCTCCCAACCTGCTGGGATTATAGGCGTGCACCACTGCACCTGGCTCTGTCTCAAATTTAAAAAAAAAAAAGTCTGGAGGGGGTGTGGGGGTGTGGTTCAGGGGTAAAGTGCCTCTGGGTTCAATTCCAGTACCAAAGGAAAAAAAAAAGAGTAGCCAGTGTCTTGTTTATTCCCTGTTGAAATTATGGTAGGAGAGAGGGAGCTACCTTGTGAGTTGTACAATACAGCTGTTGAATAGGCAAGTCCTATCTCTCACTGGGTTCTTCGGGCTTCTTGGGGGAGGGGGAATGCAGCTTAGTAACAAGCTTATGTTCTCTCTTCTTACACCCAGCAAGTGCCGTGAAACTTAATAAGCAGCAGACGGACATCGCTGTGAATTGGGCTGGGGGCCTGCACCATGCAAAGAAGTCCGAGGCATCAGGCTTCTGTTACGTCAATGATATCGTCTTGGCCATCCTGGAACTGCTAAAGTATGCCTGCCTGGCCTTGTCTCTTGGAGGAGCACCTTAGGCCAGGTTCCCACTTCCCTCTCCCCTTGGGCTTGCCTCCCTAGTTTGCTTTTCCTATGGTGTGCTGGCTAGGATGTGTTCAGTGTCTCTGGCCATCCTCTCCTTGACGGGGTCTTGATTTGATCTGAGCTCACGGCAAGATCAGGGGCAGGCACTGCTCAGATCCTGCCTCCAGAGTTTCCCTGTGTGGCTGGAGTTGACCCTGGCTATAGAGTAGGAAGATCGGACTTGGTCGGATTGGTCAGGCCTCTGGAGACACCCGGCCGCTCTTCCACCTTCCTTCAGCCAGTTTCCACGTCTCTGGTGCTTAGAGATACCTGAGGGAGGCAGCCAGGCCGGTAAGCTGGGACCTGGCGCCCTTGGCGCGTCCCATCCCCAAAGAGCCCCCAGACCCCTGACCCACTTCTGATCCTAGGTATCACCAGAGGGTGCTGTATATTGACATTGATATTCACCATGGCGATGGCGTGGAAGAGGCCTTCTATACCACAGACCGGGTCATGACTGTGTCCTTTCATAAATATGGAGAGTACTTCCCAGGAACTGGGGACTTACGGGTGAGAACTCCCTTTAGGGGCCAACCAGCTCACCCTCAGCTGCCAGCTCTAACTCTCCTTTTCTGTGCCACTAAAAACCATTCCCCCTCTTCTGCCATTTAAAACACTGCACTCCCATCTGGGCTGCCTGCCACAGTCACTTTTCCTCCCTTTCTGAAGGAAGAGAATGATGAGACAAGGGGTCAGAGGAGGATTGGGGTCTCCTGGCTCACTGTACTTTCCTCGTGGCCACTGGGTTGCATCACACTATTCTGTTGTGCCATAGGCTTAAGTTTGAGGCTAGGAATTAGGACTTTTATGGATCATCTCAAGGGTTCTTAACATTTTAACATCACCTTCCTCCTTTGATCATCTGGCTAAAAGAGAATGACTCGACCCAGAAAAGTATGTGCAACTTTGCATCTGATGTGGAATAGTTAATAGACATGTCCCTGCTGAAGCTCCTTCATAGAACTGTTCTATTTGCTTCTGTTCACCTACAGTGAGATCGGCCACTTTCTGTGCTAGTAGTCCTTGGGTAAAAAAGTGGCTCTAATTCAGTTTGCTATGGCAAGCATTAGGATAAGTGAGCATTTACTATTCTGAAATTAATTGAAAGAACTTTTCTCCACTCTTTGCCCTTGCATACCTTCCTAGAGATTTAGGAGAGAGTAAGGGTAGAGGAGTGTGCAGTAAAACTGGAAAAGAAAGGGTTATTTGGGGTGGGTGTTATTTCTATGATCCAACAGCTAGCCAGTCTAACCCAATCTGAAGGCAGAACTCTTTGCTGTGGGGTAGGATATTCAATCTCTGGCCCCATAATCAGCTCCCAGGCTTGGTGCAGGCTCAGTGGTATGTCCAGAGATGAGAGCTGGGCTTACCAGTGAAGGAAAAGACACTACCCAAGGTACTCTGCTCTGTCTTGGCCACCTAATGGCCCAGCTTGACTCCTAGAACTGTCAACTTTTTCCTTAGCCTTTCAGCCCCATCCTGAACTCCTTCCTAGCTTCATCTTTCAGTTTTCCTTTAATGTCCCTCTTGATTAGGATATTGGGGCTGGCAAAGGCAAGTATTATGCTGTTAACTACCCACTCCGAGATGGGATTGATGACGAGTCCTATGAGGCCATTTTCAAGCCGGTAAGTGACTTAATCCTCCCCTTTGGGTACAGGTGGGATTGGTCTAGGGGAAGGGTAGCAAAGCACCCCACCATATCTCAGGCTTCCCTTCCCACAGCTAATTGGGAAGTGAGAGGTATTTCAACCCATTGTAGTGTGATCAGTTAGGGCAACAGAAATCATCCAAATATTTGTGATGCCTTCTGTGGGTCAGGACCTCTGCTGGATACAAGAACATAAGAACATCTAAGGCATGATCTTTGCCCTCACAGTCTGTGGTTAGGGAGGCAGGCACTAACCCAGTAGCATGTGGTCAGTGCTGTTTTATATCTCCATTTCTGTGGAATCAGCTCCTGGGAAATTATTGGGGGTTTTTTGGTGGTGCTGTGCTTCCTGGATTTTTTGTTTCTTGTTGCTTTACATTGATGTCTGCATATTTGAAGAAGAGACTTACTCCAGTCCTTGCAGACTGGCTTTGTCTGGGAAAGCCCATCCAGGATTCTGGGGCCAGGCTTGCAGCAGGAGTCCTCAGGCAGGCTGGCCTAGTGCCTGTGTTTCTGAGGGATGAACAGAGGAGTGAGATAAACTGCTGCCTGGGCTGGGAAGAAGGTAGTCAAGGATGAGTTCCATGGAGGTGGTGACATTCGAGCTGGACTTTGAAAAACAAGGAGGTGCCCATGTAAAGAAGGAGGTGGGGGCTGAAGAAATGGCATTTGGTAGAAGGAACAGCACCTGCCCAAGTACAGAGGTACCAGTATAGAGCAGCTTGTAGACAGATGTGTAGGCAGAGGGTTGGAAATGGATGTTGGAGTCTGCATTTCAAAGGCAGCCTTGAGTACCATGCAAATGAAGTCCAGTTTTTATTTACAAGGAATAGGAAACTGTTGAGTGTGGCCTAAGGAGTAATCTACTATGTGCCTAACTAGTAGTAAGGGTGACAGAAGTTTCTGAGTTATAGTTTCAGTCCTGTGTAACATTAGACTCTAGTGAGAACAAGATAGACAAAAGTAAAGTGCCTCCTTGCCATATGAGGCTCAAAGTCTGTAGGACCAAATGAGTAAAGCGGATGTAGTTAATGGTTGGGAAGCTTCCTAAAGGAAGTGGCACTAGAGCTTGGGCAATGACATAAAGATTAGGGAGGTGACAGCAAGGCCATTCGAGGTTCAGTTATTAGAGCTAGAAGTGTCTTGGAGATCCTTTCAAATAGAAAACTCGCACTTCTCTACCCCACAGCATGAGGGACAGTAGAAAGATATGAGTGAGTGATAAGAAACAAAGTGCTTTACCCACACTTTCTACCCCTGAACCTCATATAGCTTTTCTTGAGGTTGATGGTGACCATGATGTGTCCGTTTAGGTCATGTCCAAAGTAATGGAGATGTTCCAGCCTAGTGCGGTGGTCTTACAGTGTGGCTCAGATTCCTTGTCTGGGGATCGGTTAGGTTGCTTCAATCTGACCATCAAAGGTGAGAGCAGGTAGTATAAGCATGGGTGGGCAGGGTCCTGCTGAGTGCTCCGGTAACCCAAACCCCTTTTTCCTCCAAAGGGCATGCCAAGTGTGTGGAATTTGTCAAGAGCTTCAACCTGCCTATGCTGATGCTGGGAGGAGGTGGTTACACCATTCGTAATGTGGCCCGGTGCTGGACATACGAAACAGCTGTGGCTCTGGACACAGAGATCCC